CAGGCTAGAGTGCAGTGGCATGACCTCAGCTCACTGCAACCTCCAACCCCCAGGTTCAAGCAATTCTCCTGCCTCAGCCTCCCGAGTAGGTGGGATTACAGGTGTGCACCACCACGCCCAGCTACTTTTTGTATTTTAGTGGAGATGGGGTTTCACCATGTTGGTCAGGCTAGTCTTGAACTCCTGACCTCAGGTGATCCACCCGCCTTGCCCTCCCAAAGTGGTGGTATTACAGGCATGAGCCACAGCGCCTGGCTTATTCTGATATGCTTTACTGTTGTTCCACACTTAATTGATTTCTACTGTGGCATAACAAGAAATATATGTTTGGTCTCTGCCCCTGGTTCCTGGTACGCAGCTTCCTAAACCCTTGGATGCTCTAGAGTGAAAGACTGTCTTTTGTATGCTGACAGCTGGTAGCTGGGGCTTCTGGGTAACGTTAGGATAGTCATGGTCCCCTGAAAGACAAAGCATGATTACAGACCTAGAACTTTTCAGCCCCACCCCAGGAGGTAGGGGAGACGGACTGAAGATTGAGCTAATCACCAGTGATCAATGATTTCATCAGTCGTGACTCCATAATGAGACCTCCCTAAAAACCCCAAACCACAGGGTTCGGAGAGCTGCTGGCCTGACGAGCCCAGCAAGGTGCTGGGAGGGTGGTATATCCAAAGAGTGTGCGGAAGCTCTGCACCCCTTCCCCCATCCCTCACCCTGTGCGTCTCTTCCATTTGACCATTCCTTTATAATAAACCAGTAATTGTAAGTCAAGTGCCTTCCTGAGCTGTGTGAGCCGTTCTGGCAAAGCCGAGGAGGGGCTCGTGGGAAGCCCCAGTGTACAGCTGCCTGGTCAGAAATACAGTGGCCATCTGGGGATCCCAGCTGGCGGCTCAGGGGGCCAGTCTTGTGGGACTGAGCCCTTCCTAACTGTAGAGTCTACACTGACCCTGGTAGTTACAGTAGTATCCGAATTGAATTGTAGGACGTCCAGTTAGTGTCAGAATTGGTTGGTGTGGAAAACCCACATAGCTGGTGTCAGTAGTGTGACTGGAACAGCTCACCCTCACCTTTGTGTTCTACTTGCTTTATTTGGGTTTGCTCTGTAGCTCATTTTCAGCTTCTGAAATGCACACTTACTGCATTAGTTTTGGCGCCGTTTCCTTAAAAAATTTCTTTAAAGTTGAAAATTGCCCACAAGAACTAGTTTAGCTGCGTCTCCCAAATTGTGACTGAAGTATTTCATCATTGCAGAAGCCCATTTTCCCCATTTTAGCATCTCGGAAATTGAGATGCAGCTTTTAGTCAAGATGGTACATCCTGTTTCAATCAGCAGCTTTTTCCTCTCTCAGTGGTGTATGGAATTATGGCGTTTCCTAGACTCAGTGGCATGTTCAGTGCAGTGAAGTATCATATGGTGTTTGCATTGTCTTTTAGCTCTAAGTATTTCATAATTTCCCTTTTTTCTTTGAGACGGACTCTCTGTCACCCAGGCTAGAGTGCAGTGGCGCCATCTTGGCTCACTGAAACCTCTGCCTCCCGGGTTCAGGCGATTCTCCTGCCTCAGCCTCCTGAATAGCTGGGACTACAGGCGCCCGCCACCACCACACCCAGCTAATTTTTGTATTTTTAGTAGAGACGGGGTTTCACCGTGTTAGCCAGGATGGTCTCGATCTCCTGACCTCATGATCTGCCCGCCTGGCCTCCCAAAGTGCTGGGATCACAGGCGTGAGCCACGCGCCCGGCCTCCCAAAGTGCTGGGATTGCAGGCGTGAGCCACGCGCCCGGCCTCCCAAAGTGCTGGGATTGCAGGCGTGAGCCACATGTGCCCGGCCTCCCAAAGTGCTGGGATTACAGGCGTGGGCCACCGCCCGGCCACCGTATGTTATTTTTCATGAATTTATTAGGACTTTTGTCTTCAGGCTCTTTTTTTGCTTTTTTTTTTTTTTTGAGACAGAGTCTCACGCTGTTGGCCAGGCTGGAGTGCAGTGGCACAATCTAGGCTCACTGCAACCTCCGTCTCCTGGGCTCAAGCAATTCTGCCTCAGCCTCCGGAGTAGCTGGGATTATAGGCATCTGCTACCATGCCTAGCTACGTTTTGTATTTTTAGTAGAGATGGGGCTTCACTCTGCTGGTCAGGCTGGTCTCGAACTCCTGACCTCAGGTGATCCGCCTGCCTTGGCCTCCCGAAGTGCTGGGATTACAGGCGTGAGCCACCGTGTCCGGCCTGTCTTCTGGCTTTTTAAGGGTGTCTCTTGGTTTTTTTTTTTTTTTTTTTTTTGAGACGGAGTCTTGCTCTGTGCCCCAGGCTGGGGTGCAGTGGCGCGATCTCGGCTCACTGCAAGCTCCGCCCCCCCGGGTTCCTGCCATTCTCCTGCCTCAGCCTCCTGAGTAGCTGGGACTACAGGCGCCGCCACCTCGCCTGGCTAATTTTCTTGTATTTTTAGTAGAGACGGGGTTTCACTGTGTTAGCCAGGATGGTCTCGATCTCCTGACCTCGTGATCCGCCTGTCTCGGCCTCCCAAAGTGCTGGGATTACAGGCTTGAGCCACCGCGCCCGGCCTGGGGTGTCTCTTGTAAACACACAGGAACACACAGTGCCCGCTCCTGGCCGCTCTGTGTCTGTCATGGCTAAAAGCTGTACTTAGAGAAAATCACACAGATGTGGGTGCGAACCCAGTTCCACCCCTCATTTGCTCTTAGCCTTCATCAGTCGCTTTCCTCTGAGTTTCTCGGTGGGAAAAGTGGGGTGAGAGCATCTTCCTTGAGAACCTTCAGGGCTCAGATGAACCAGTGGATGTGCCTGGCACGTGGGGACAGCTGGGGAACACTGAGCCTGACCCGACTCTGGAATACGCTGTCAAAAATGAGCCAAGACTCCAGGGCTTCCCTCTCTACCTTTCCTTCTGCTGACAAAGCCGAGAGCCTCGAGTCCGTTCGTCTTCCAGGGCTCTGGGCAAGAGCAGCGATTAGCAGAATCTGTTGAAAGTGCCACAAAGGTACAAGGTTAACAGATAAGCCCCGTTTGTAATCCCGAGCAGGCGCGAGGATGCGGGACAGGCAGAGCATGAACCCCTGCTTTGCTTTTGTAGAACGCAGAGAGCAGCCTGCAGCAGAAGAATGAAGCCATCACATCCTTTGAAGGAAAAACCAACCAAGTTATGTCCAGCATGAAACAAATGGAAGAAAGGTAATCACTTCCTCCTGCAGATGTTCTCTGGAAGGTGCCAAGCATTCCCTGGGCCTGGAGCTTGTTCAGAGTTCCTCTCCAGAGTGCAGGGCAGGGGCGGGGCGCGGTGGCTCACGCCTGTAATCCCAACACTTTGGGAGGCTGAGGCCGGTGGATCACCTGAGGTCAGGAGTTCAAGACCAGGCTGGCCAACATGGTGAAACCCTGTCTCTACTAAAAATACAAAAAATTAGCCAGGCGTGGTGGTGTACGCTCGTAATCCCAGCTTCTTGGGAGGCTGAGGCAAGAGAATTGCTTGAACCCAGGAGGCAGAGGTTGCAATGAGCTGAGATCGTGCCATTGCACTCCAGCCTGGCCAACAGGAAGAGACTCTGTCTCCAAAAAAAAAAAAAAAAA